GGTTCATTAATTCAGTGACGTTACAATCAGGACGTCTGTTGCACGGCTTTAAACATTCAGCAGAAGTTGTTAAGTTCATGCCAGTTGCATTACCATGTTTAACTAATGTGCGTCGTACAGCAGTTGGAGAATCCAATGTGCAGGTTTATGTTCAAACGTTCTAGCAACGTTAATAAAAAATGTTGGGCTTAATAAAGTACTTGCTGTAGAAATGCAAGGTCTGTGCTAGGTAACACGGAAAGTAACATTAGCAATTATGTATACGATCTTACAAACACTTAAAATTAATCTGTATTTCGTAAAACATTGCTATGTCATTATAATATGAAGATTATACATTAAATTTGCGACGAAAAGCTAGAATGATTCTCGTTAACATTTTTGCGTCGTTTACCGTCGATGTTCCTTTTTACCAGACGCTTAGTCTTGTTTTCCACCACGCGCCGCGTGCGATTGACATCTTATGTAGCAGTTGCCACCACCAGTGAAGTAGGGCTCGAACTGAAATGGTGGTCGCGCTGCTGGCTTAGTGGAAAAAAGTTCTCAGAATTGAGACGCAGTAAACGCGCTCGTTACCAACCCACTCGCCGTCGAGCCCTCTCAACGCCCTCCCGCGACCTCTCACCTGTCCCCAGTCGCTCCCAATGAGACCTGACCTAAGATACTTCGCTCACAACAATACATTAAAGCCGTTCTACAAACTTTAGCTTGCAAATTCCTTACTCTTGTCTCTCTTGCATTTTTATGCTATAAAATTAGCTGTTTTAAATCTTCATATACCCTTTTAATTGTTGCCCATGTTTTCTAATATTTTCTTAAGCTGATTGCGCGAAATACTGTTGCATCTTTATATTTATTACATTTCTAAAAGTAAGCAATACATCACAAAGTTCAATATATGTCATCGTAAAAGTGCTAAGCCTCCGCACGTCGTAAAATCTACGAAGCAAATCCGCACATCCCATGGTAACAACGCTATACGAATGATTGCGGAGCTTTGTTTACGCTAGCGTGTTATTGAAAACAACCCTTCGACTGCTCTACCGTGCGCGTAACATTTCCAATGAAATGGTTATTGCTTTCTATTCCATATTTACTTATGCAAAGAATAAAGACACCTTTTTCCTTAATATGTAAAAGATATAGAGTACAGAGAGTGTTAAGGTGCTTGACTATCTGTTAACACAAGAAATGTTTTTGATATATGTAAATAACAAAGATTGTTGAAGGACTTGATGTTTTCCATTAATAATGCTAACCAGAATTGCTATGATATGGCGTAAAATAATTTACAAGTACATCGTACGACTGTTGCCTTTGAGTTATGGAACTAAACACCGTTTATAATGGACGACGTAAACATTATGCGAGATAGCGAAGCGAATACTTTTTTCTTAGAATATTCAATGCTCGTATTTTTGGTGGCATTTGTCTATGCTAGTAGTTGAACAATATTTTTACGAAATTATTCAATGTTTAATTCAGCGTATCTAAATGAATTCGTTATGATATCAGACAGGGACATACCAAGGCTATATGACATCATATTTTATGATATATGTAAATACTAAAATCACTTTTTTAAGTTTTGAAATAGAACAATTTCCTCGTTAGATTATGGCCATATTGTTAAAAACAGTTTAACTGCTATAACCGAGAAACCTCTACAAGCGAGAGTCATTGTTCGGTACTGATGGAAGACCTTCATAAGTGAGAAACTCGGGTTACAGAAAAATCTCTTGCTCATTCATGTATGACTGTATATTACTGAATTCAAATCAATCGAAAGGTAATTACACTAGCTGTCGCCTGCGACTCCATAGTCTATGTGTACCATATATATTCTAGCCAAATTTCAGCAAGATTCGTTGTCTTTCTAGAGATATCTTCAAACATCCATCCATCTAAACATTGGCATTTATAATATTATAATAGTAAGATAGTAATAAAAACGTCTTACATATGTAATGTGCTGTTTTGGATAATATACACTAGAGGTTTCTGTTCCAGACGTATTCATAAATAAGTAAACTCAAACTGAATTATTTATAACATTTTATTATAATAACAGTGACCCGATTCTATCAAATTATACTCTAGTCAGTCTAGTCTCAAATTTAAACCATGCCACGGACACACCCAGCTCTAATCTATTCGCTGAAATATGTATTGTTTCAGGTGAACTGTTCGGACTTTCATGCAAATGACACGAGCGACTGGTCCGCTAATATACAGATTATATCGTCTATGTTACATTCGAATAGTTTTTAATAGTCAAATTAGTTTTTGTTTAGATATTTTATTATAAATTCATCACAACTTGTAAATCAGGATAACAACGGGAACTAATAATTTCTTTCAAGTTACTTTTATATAATAGAAAAGTTGACGACAGACATCATTCTTGTCTAAAAAGGTTCTAGTGAAAACAAGATTAATCTGTTTTGTTTTAACTTAGATGTATCATTCTTATTTTGAAATCTTTATTCAAAACGGGAATGTTTGGATGGATGGATAGATGAATGTTTGTTTGAAAGTATCTACGGAACGGCTCGACGGATCTTACTGAAATTTGGCACAGATGTAGAACATAGTCTAGAAGAATACATAGGCTACTCATTAAGTTTTTTTTCAATTCCGCGGGGACAGACTCGCGGGCGACAGCTAGTTTTTTTTAGTGAATTCAGTTCAAATAATAAATGTTTGTATATGGCGTCTCATGTATAATTATTTTAGTTATTAAATAGAGAAACAACTTTAAATAGCCTTATAAAGTCACATGGAGTAATATTTCGTAGAAGTTTTATCCATCAAAGGACTTTTAACGATGCTGGATTAAACTTGACGTATAAGAGAAATTTGATGTGTTGTGTGTAGCATAAAATATGTTACGGTAAGTGGTTCACTTTTATGATGGAGCACATTTCGAACGACGTCGAAGTTTCTAGTTTTAACGGCATTTTTATATCGACATTCGTTTTTACTGGCCAGCGATTAATAACATAAAATTTTCAAAGTCAATAACGGCAGAATAAGATTTCAACGGATAATACTTTTTGGTAATAAAATCTTTTAAATGTTATCTGATACTTCACCTCTAAATTAACATAGTGATTAAATCGATTTTTGAAAAGCAAAACAAAAATAACTATTACATTTTATACCTATTTCGTATAAAAGCAAAAAAATATATCTTAAACGATCCTTTTTATATTTAAGCCCAACGAAATCTTCCTTTCGTAATAACGAGAGCTGGAAATCCTGCGACGAAAAGTAGAGAATGAAAGTCATTATCGCTAAATACCCAAGCGACTAAAGTGTTTTATATTTTAGACAGAAAGCGAAATATTTTCTACTAAGGCTTCCTCATATGAGGTCTATTTAAAATCAATCATAAACATTGATCAAAAACTTTTTTTGCGCGTTAGTATTAATGTTCTAGCAATCGGGGGTGCGAACATTTCGATCACCGGAGGGTCGGCAGGTAACGAGTGTTCAATCAGAGGGAGCGAGATATAAATGAAAAAGTAAATTCGACTCGATTTCGAGTTGACGACCCCTCGTTGTAGGCGATCCACGAAAGTTGCACATTTGCGGATAATCCCACGACCCATTTCAGTGCAGCGTTAGTAAATAATTTATTCACTGCGAACATTTTCCTATTGTATATATGTAAAAAATGGTTAATGCAATCGCAAATATGAAAAAGTAGTTCTACTGTTTACATCATCACATTACGTAACTACATATTACATAACATGTTTTTCGTTTTCCTTTGTTTTTATCGTAATCAGATGCAAACATTTGTAGCATAGTTGTAAGAGTCACGCAAACATACATATATTATGCATTAATATGAAATGCTAATTAATATTTTTCACGATTTTGAACAAGGGCGAATAGACACCCTTTTTTTTAGAGGGGAATGCTTTATGCATACTCCGTGCCCCAGAGGGGTCACGGTAGTTATGTGGCATTCTCTTCCAGATGGGAAGCATACCCACTAAACCCCTCTGCTCCTCCTACGATGGCGAGGTCACGGGCACGCTTTCGCTTTCGTCAGCAACCCCGCCTGCTAGGGCAATAGACACCCGTCTTAATAATACGTTTAAGAAAATTTAAATACGCTTTTATTTTCTTTCTAACAGGTAGTTTCCATTGTCGTAACGTCCCTCTAAAAATACCGCTATCTCTGGTATTCGAAAGAGAATAAGAGAGATAGCGATATGTTTTTGAGTGCAATAATGTCTCACGTTATACAATATGTTGGTGTCTCTTGCAAACTTTACTAGCAATGTGATTATCTCATCCCGTGTCAACGGACGAGGCGGGAAGGGGAAGGGAGAGTCGCCGGCTTCGCAATAACCATGACACGTCAATCTAGGTGGTAGGCGGTATATTTCTAGAAGCTATACTTCTGTGTGATATGATGATTGGAAGAAGCGTTTCAAATCATTTCGCATTTCGTGTGTGTTTACGAACCATTTACTGGCTTGGATTTACTGCACGAAACCAAAGTTATATTGCTTCGTTTCCGCGTTACGTTGCGCCTCAGTTCCGTTTCGCTTTCGCGGCAGTGTATTGAAAGATAAAATTGACGTAATACGATTCAAGATGCCGCAGTTTTTATGACAATTTTATTGATCTCCAATATAATGTACTGTACGTATCTGTAACGTTATAAAATGTAACATTAAAACGTAACATTCGACACCTGATATCGTGACAATCGTATTTGTAACGAGGTGATTACAGAGGGTTGCGGTGGGACGAGGTCGATGTTACCACCATGTGACCGTCGGGCAATTACTGGAATACGATACATCTTAGATTTTTACGTAATGTCCTTTTGTAACAGGAAACTGATTGTATTTAATAGTTGCATTTTTTATGAAGTTTAGATGTGATAATGATTCGTGTCATATTTCTGGATAATGTATATCTGCATCTAAAAATTCTAATTGTCAAATTTTATCTAACGGTTTGTTTGTTTGTTGCAGGGCGGCGCGGCTGCGCAGCAGTGGTTTGTGGTGTAGAGCGAACCCTGGAGCCGCACAGGGGTCTATGTAGGTACCATCATTTTTATTCTTGTAACATTAATTAATAAATTTAATTAAAATTTATAAAAAAATAAAGTTTCGAGAATTTGAGGGAAAATCTCGTAAGGTGATGGTTTTCCTAAGTGGAATAATCTGTTCAAAGAATCAGATTAACAGTTTAATGTATAATTCTCAGTATTTTAACGTATTAGTTCAATCGCATGCAATTAAGATGATGAATTGCGCATCTGTGTGTGTGCAGTGGTGCGGAGGGCGCGGCAGCATGGACGACGGAGGCAGCAACAAGCAGCGGCAGGCCACCAGGGTCTTCAAGAAGAGTTCGCCCAATGGAAAGGTACATTATTAATTATTATATTGTTTACACACATCAAAAATGCACTCGGATTTTATATAGTCGGTACCGTTAGTATCTTTGGTTATTATAGAAATGAGGTAAGGACTGGAGATTGTTGTGTTAACATTTTATTAGAAACTAGCTGTCGTCTGTGACACCGTGCGCGCGGAATTTAAAAAGATTTAGGTAGCCTATGTGCTCTTTCGGACTATGTTCTACATCTATGCCGAATTTCATCGAGGTCCATGCAAACGTTCTGGAGATATCTTCTAACAAACATCCATCTAGTCCATTTTTCGCATTTATAATACTAGTAAGATTTTGAAATAAATAATATTGGATAAGACCTAGACATACATCTGTACAGTCGTTTAAAGCCATACAATAAGTTGATGCGCTGTGGAATTTGTAAGGTTCATCGAACAGTAATATCGTTTGTGATCTACACGCGATATGCTACTGATGAGTCAATGCACGCAAAGCTATGCTATCCTGGTACCTAATGCCATCGAACTATCGTCATAACCTAACGTCCCATAGGAAATAACTTAAATTATGAAATTCGTGAATTTCAATATTTCTTTTATATATCTATATATATATATATATATATATATATATATATATATATATATATATATATATAAAATAAGTAGCCTATGTGCTCTTCTAGGCTATGTTCTACATCTATGCCAAAGTTCAACGAAATTTATGCATCCGTTCTAGAGACAAACCATCTATCCAGTTATTCTTTTTTTTTAAAAAAAAATACTAGCAGATTGTTTTGTAAATTTACTAATATTTCTTTTACCATTCCAACTAAGTTCTAGGCTTGTGCTAGGACTGTGTGCGAAGAGTATTTACATGTGCCCACACCCCGGTAAACAGTGAGTCGAGGGAACCAGAGGGGGTTTAGTGGGTAGGCTCCTTGTCCCTTTAGGGATGTGGAGAGACTCCCACATAACCGGAGTGGCTTTCCCCGAGGCACCCGGTATGCGTAACGCATGCCCCCTCTTAAAAAAAAGGCTTGTGCTAGGATATGGTTTATGACAATAGTCGAATGGCGGGATTCGAAGGTGGGGACCTAGTGGTCGGAAATCCGTACCCTTAACCATTAGGCTATTGACGCTATTCCAATTATTAATTTTAGTAATATTATATATATTTTTTTTGTTTTCCAGATCACAGTATACTTAGGAAAAAGAGACTTTGTAGACCATATAACACATGTAGATCCAATTGGTAAGTATCGTAGTCATTAATAAATTCACCGCTAATATCTAAAATTAATAGTTTTATTTTGCGATGTTTTAAAGTTAATTTTCCTGTAAACAATTGTAAGATTTATATTGAAAGATAATTTTGTATTTCAAAGCAAAAACATGTCTGGACTGGATGATTTATATGTGACATATATCTTGCAGCTCCGCAGTTTCATTGCGGACGTAATTCTAACTTGAAATTTACAGTCGCAAAAAATTAATTCCGCACACATATTTCAACACCTACGCCTAACTGCTATAATTACAGACGATAGTTTAAACGTACATTTTTATTCAATTCCAAATACGGAAAACTTTAAAATGATTTTTGGCAGACGAAAATGTAGTCGGAACTTACGAATCTATAAATATTTATTTGGGACCAAGATAAATTCGGTACAGACAAATCTAATATAGGTCATATCTTAATGGAAAAAGGAGGCAAACGTCTAAGTGGGAGGTTATGGTTAATGTCACCACAGACGAAAGACACACGCTAATAATAATATTTGTTAATAATGTGTTGCCAGGTCTCTATATATAAGTCTATGTTAAGAGCAGCGAAGTATGTAGATAAGAAAAAAAAATGTTGAATTAAATCTTACCTTTCTCACATTAATCATTATCATTTCTATAGATGGCGTTGTGCTGATTGATCCTGAATATGTAAAGGATCGTAAGGTGTTTGGGCACGTGCTAGCCGCGTTCCGCTACGGTCGCGAGGACCTCGATGTACTCGGCCTTACCTTCCGCAAAGACCTCTACCTCGCCGCTGAACAGGTGAATATACTCTATGACTTACTTTACTTGAAGACCTATGTCCTATAACCACAGTGCGCCGCCAGTTATTTTTTTTTCATTTATTACTTAAGCTTCTCATTATACAAACACTGCAAACATTTGAACTGTTACGGCGTTTTTGTAAGCAGTTTTTTTTTCTAATAAGTTTAATTCTATTCCATATAATCTTCGAACATTAAAATAAATACGTTGGTATAACGCAAAGCTATAAATATGTTTATTTCGCCTAAAAGCTCTCGCATGTTTCCCGTACAAATGCCAATCTGAATTAGTAGTAAAATCCATTTGTTCGCAAGACATTAGCTCTGTGTTGACAGTTTGCCAGTTGGTAGCTTCAGGGAGACTGCGCGTCTGGGCCTGCCAGTTACCAACTTTGTTAAACGTGTAGGCAATTTCCGAACTTGTCCTACCTCCATTAAATTTATATGGAGGGATATTATCCTGTATAATTTCAACGAAAATGTTTCACCTTTTATGCTACTTTATACAAGTTACAATATTTGAATAATTGAGTGCAAAATATATAAGATTAAAAATAGCTTAGCTATTACTATGGCCAAGGTTTCAAGGTCGAATTAGGGATCATATGCACATAAACCCGCTTATAAATGAATGTCAACAAAAAATTATACTTCTGTACCCAGCTTTAAGGTCTTTTTAAAATAAAAATAACATTTTGGAAACAGATATACCCCGCAACAGCACCCGCAAAGCGTCCTTTGACTCGACTACAGGAGCGACTGGTCCGTAAACTGGGCCCCGCGGCGCATCCTTTCTACTTCGAGTTACCGCCGCACTGCCCAGCCTCGGTGACGCTGCAGCCCGCGCCCGGCGACACCGGCAAGCCCTGCGGCGTCGACTACGAACTAAAAGCATTTGTTGCCGATTCACAAGATGACAAGCCGCACAAGAGGTATTACAACATACATTCCCTCACAGAAACTTAAATCTAAAATTTTTCAAATGACCTTGAAACAAAATTCATACAGATTTACGATATTAATAAAAAATACTTGCATATTTTTGGAAAGGATGTTGTAATATAGAAAGGGATATAGCGATCGCGCTATGCCGTTTGTTTCTATAAACATTCCTGCGTTAATTAGTGTTAATGAAAACGCAGTTTGCACTCGCTCACTTTGACTCATAGTATTGCGCATCGTTACCTAGAATCAGTTAATATCAATAGATTTCAAAGATTTTTATGCAGGCCATACTACAGTTTTATAAATTCTCGTTATATCTCATTATCTCACTAATATCTCCCCGCGCTCTTTGAAATATTCCATAATTTATTTCCGAACAGAGATTTCCCTCTTTCGAGCCTTACGTAATTAATGTACGATTTCAAACTTCTTATTCTGGGATTAGAAGGGACGGACAAAAGAGTAAATACTGTTAGGATTAGGTATAGTCATATAAGTTAGTGTTGCTTAAATATGCTAATAGTGCTATACTTTAACTTGTATTTCAAATGTTGTATACCAAGTATTGCTATCTTTGTTTTATTCAAAGAGAATGAGTGGGATGGCAATATTGTGGTATTGGTTTACGATATATGTATATTACACATATGAAGTGATGTACGTTAGGAATTCAGTGCGGCTGGCGATCAGGAAGATTATGTACGCGCCGAGCAAGCAGGGCGAGCAGCCCTCAGTGGAAGTCTCCAAAGAGTTCATGATGAGCCCCAACAAACTCTACCTGGAGGCCTCATTAGACAAGGTAACTGGTATGACATAGACTTTCAGACAAATAAATTTGTAATTCAGCAAAGTGTCAAGAATATATATATCTTAATGAAATCATTTTATCCTTACTTAACTATATAATTAGTGTCGATTCCTTCTACCTAGTGTACACTAATCGTAGATTTCAGAGACCAAAATCTCTGTATAAAACATATCGTTATCCCTGTCATCTTTGACAATATGTTTTAAACAGATGTTTTGCCTCAGAAAGCCACGGTTAGTGAATTTAAATGGCATGTATATACAGGAGTTATACCACCACGGCGAGAACATAGCTGTGAACGTGCACATCGCCAACAACTCCAACCGCTCCGTGAAGCGCATCAAGGTGTCAGTGCGTCAGTTCGCGGACATCTGTCTCTTCTCCACCGCACAGTACAAGTGCACTGTCGCTGAGGCTGAATCAGAGTTAGTCTACACATCTTTATAACAAGCTGTCGCCCGCGACTATGTCACTATGTTCTACATGTATATTACATTTCAACAAGATCCGTTCGGCCGTTCCGGAGATACCTTGGAACTATTCATCAATCGAAGCATTCGCATTTATAATATTAGTAATCGTACAAACGCTCGGCAATCCCTTCAGAGAGAGACAAACGTATTGTATTTGAGATTATGTCTGAATAAACCTTAACGACAGAATCGCGGTTATTTCGCTATTCTTTATATTTGTATAGGAAGCAAAACATCAGTGTAACTGCTTGTTCTAATGCAAAGATTTAACTATAATCTTGTTTCCTTCCTCGTGTGGTATCATCGATCTACTCCGACGTTACACTTCCGCACTCTCGCCACCACATTGTGCGGCGTCGCGTTATTTCCTCACGTAGCAGATGATAATAATAAGAAATAAAGTATAAATTTAATAGAGGAAATTCATGCGATATCCGATGCTCAAATTCTGATAGTCAATCTACACTAGTTGCGGAATTTATCCAGCGGAAACGATTCTTGCATTTCGTGTAAACTCGTTTTTGTTCATTACTTTGTTTATTCATTGGTTCATTAGTTTGTATGTTTGTAGGGAAGGTTGTCCTGTGGGGCCAGGGTTCACGCTGAGCAAGGTGTTCACGCTGACGCCGCTGCTGGCCAACAACAAGGACAAGTGGGGGCTCGCACTCGACGGACAGCTCAAGCACGAGGACACCAACCTCGCCTCCAGCACATTGTAACTATAACAATAATAATCAAACTAAACTATACTGTAAATATACTATTTGTTGATATATCTTTCAGCGTCAATAGCCCAATGGTTAAGGGTACGGATTTCCGACCATGAGGTCGGGGGTTCGAATCCCGCCATTCGACTATTGTCGTAAACCATATCCTAGCACAAGCCTAGAGCTTAGTTGGAATGGTAAAAGAAATATTAGTAAATTTACAAAAAAATCTGCTAATATTTTTACAAAAAAAAAACTTTATGTATGTAGGATAGCGGATCCGGCGCAGCGCGAGAACTTGGGTATCATAGTACAATACAAGGTCAAGGTCAAATTGTGCCTCGGACCACTCGGCGGGTAAGTCACACTTTTTATTACTTATTCGGGAAAAATAAGAATTAAATACGTTTAAAATAATTCCAAACATTATAATATATAGTTTAGATATACATGTGTAATACTATCGTTTTGTTTAGGGACCTGAGTGCGGAGCTCCCGTTCATCCTGATGCACCCGAAGCCGGAGGAGGAGGCGCCGCGCTCCGCCCCCGAGCCCGCGCCCCACCAGGACCACGACCTCATACAGCTCGACCCGCACCCGTATGTATACATTGACTTTGAATCTTATCCTCTTTGTAGAAAAGTACAAATGAACTTAATGCCCTCTTTACCATTCTATAGAGACGAGAACGGGCAAGAGCAGGACGACGATATAATCTTCGAAGACTTCGCACGACTGCGGCTAAAGGGCGCGGACTCGGAGGCCTGAGATGCGCCCCCGCCTCCGGCCCCGGCCCCGGCCTCGCCCCCGCCCCCGGGTCCGCCCCAGCCCCAGCCCCCGCCCCGCATCTGGCGGCTGGCAACACTCGACCGTGGCTCGCGCTGCTCGTAAATACAAGGAATTGTCCACTACTTCCCGAACCTGTACATAATAGTTTCCTTGTGTAGGACGGAGAGACTTCATACTTGAAGAAGAAATATGGTCCTTCGAGCCGATTTATTCAAGTTACAGCCGGTTGTAACTGGTTCAACCATTTGTATATGTTGTGAATGTCTGTACCGAACTAATACGCCGATGTCAATTTCGAATGAATACTAAGTTTGAACTCTATACGACTGGCATTAAAGTTTAAATTCAACTGCAAGAAAGGATATCGGGTATTTAGTATTAGTTGGTGTTGTGTTACATGCACACTGTATATCAAAATATATTGTTATTAAATACATTTCTAAGTGATTAACAAACATTTGGTCATTTGAAAGTTTGGCCAACCAGTTTGTGGAACGGCACAAAAGGTTGGTTAATAAATCTAATTAAGTTGATGTTAAACTATTAATTTGGACATTTTTTTTAATAAAATTATTGAATCAAATTTTGATATTTATGTGTGCTTGTAACATATTAAGTATTATATAAATAAATTTTATATTATATTCTATGTATATTGTAATATTCGAAAATTATTTTAAATAGCATATTATTGATCAAATTTACAAGTACAATTTTATATTTTTATCATTTTATATGTGTAATATTAGTTGTAAATTATTTGAACTTTTGTAGGAATCATTTCAATGAACTTATAGTACAATATAAATTGGTATGCATTTAATTGTATAAAAACATTTTTAGTTTCATTTCCGAAATAAGTTTCATTCAGAAAAAAATTGATTAAACCTGATTATCGTTATATGTTTTTGATTATAAAAGCGAAATTATTATTTTTTTTTAATTATATTCATTTTAAATATTGTTGGAAACAATTTGCTTTTTAAAATCTATATTGTCAAGATAAAATTTGTTTTAAACATGTCGTTGCTATGTTGTTTAGCGAACAGAATGTGGCCTTTGTGACAGAATTTAAATGATTCCATACATTATAATATTAACCATTGGTTGGCGATGTTAAGGTCAGTTTCCACTGTCGAATACTTGTACGGCAAACTTATTGATATCGCTCAAGTACATCTTACAAGTAACACGACAGTTTAATGTTAATATTATGTAATAAATATATTTGCAGTTTTTTTTTTATAAATGATCATCAAATTCCGTTGTAGTGGTCGATATATAATCTGTCGACCATTGATGTTGTACTCGGATTTTATATGGTGATCCCTGACGGCTACAAAACATTCCATTACACACAACATTTTTTTTTATTTGTACTGATACAATTCATAATTTAATTTTACACAATTTACTTTTGTTTATTTAAATTGTAGTACTGTTAATATTTTTCCATATCTAGCGATATTTTTACTCGTTTTTTAAAATAAATTATACGATAGAACGGAACGTAAATAAACGCTGTGGTATGTTTCGGAGCTGTTAGCGCTCTCTAATAAAAACTGAATTATAATACACATGTTTATACTATAACTTGTACATTTATTTTGCTGTACAGAAAGTAACTTTTGTAAATTTTATGGTATAATTTTTAAATATTTGTAGATTAAATAATAAAATGCACAAATGTCTTACTACATTTAAGCTTAGATATGAGTGCAGCTATACGATCCATTGACAGCATCTGTCAAAATAACGCGCAAAGTTTCGTTCATTAATTGGTCATTTTTTGTAAAAAATCTTAATGGCTACCGGCGACGACCCTCATTGAATGGGATAATTAGGGAGATGAATAATCTTTACAGCTCTGGGTACTTGTCCTTTTGAGCCAATCGGAATAAATAATTCGTAGTATTGCCACTTGTAAGGTACAAATTTACTTTATATTTTTGTGAAATTGTTTTTATAGATTAACTATTAGGTCAGTATTTTGTATTTTAAAAAGCATGTTGATGTTAAAAAATATGAAATTATTTTTAAGAATTCTACTAAAATTTGTTTTTAAACTGAAACGTAAAAACAAAAATGACACACAATAATCGATGTCCTAAACAACATTTATCGGTAATATGTGGAAAACAATGAGCAATTTTTGTTTGTGGCACTTTTTATAACATATTTTGGTTTTAATGCATTTAAATTAAGGTTTATTTGGTTCTAAATTTCAAGGTTTATTTTGTAAGTGTCGGTGGCGAATATCGAAATGCGCCTTTATTTCAGCAATGCATTATTAGTAGATATTAAATAATTATTTTGTTGCGATATAATTGTATTATTATTTATATATTTTAATGCTAAGTGTTGAATGGTATAAGTAATTTGTATAATTAAATAATTGTATCTAGGAATAAAAAAGACGAGATCTAAAATAATGTTTTTGAACTTGACAACCTGAGTACAATTAGAGGCGATTGTTGTCATACTAAAATTTTATACAGAGGCTAATATTGCTTTTTACACGAATCATTAACAATTATGTTTCTTATAAAATTTTACAAAAACAATTAAAGGGAAAAAATAATCATTGCGACTAGTTTGAAGTATAATATGAATAAATAATTCTTCCATGCAATACATACTAATGCAGAAAGTAAAAACATAAAACACATATTTTTTAATTTTACATCGAAAACGTTTTGATGTATACTTTTTCAATAAATATGTAATCAATAAGCTTTTGTTGTTTGATTTTGTCCCAACACCATTATCTTGAAAAAAAAAGTGGCGGAGTTTATCACCAGCCAATCTAGACAAAGTGCATTGGTTTCAAAACGAAGTTTAAAAATGTATAGAACTGACAAAATTACATTCGATTCGTCTCGTGATTGTTACGTGTCGGTTCCAAAAATGCACTTTGCCTAGAGGGACAGGAACTTGTCGAAAGTTTTATCAGTTTTTACTTTTTGAACTTCATTATCGAATCGCCGATCACAAAAAATCTTGATTTTTTAGAACTTACACTTATTTTATATACTCTTTGACATGTAGCAACAAACAACAAACTACTATTTTTTAAATTATGTTCTGTTGTTTCATATTATAGTCTGTTGTTTCATATTATAGTCTGTTGTTTAACACTCTTTGACATAGGTTTTTCATTCACTCACTCTCAGTTCACTTCACTTCATATAATTTATAAATGTTTAGGTTATAATTGTAGGTGTTTACAATTTTAAAAAGATTTAACTATTTTAATACTTATGTAAGTGATATAAGGTGATTTTCGCCAGCGTGATGTTTTTAATATAGTTGTACTTTTAAGTATATTATACTTGGATTGAAGGGAAAAGATTTCTCAGCATTAAAAGTGATTTATATTCGTGTAAATGCTTTAAGATCTCGATAGGTTAAGGTACAATGGGTACCAGAAATTTATCTAAGAAAGAGCTAGAGGAGCTTCGTAAAAAAGAAGAAGAGGAAGCGGCTGCTCATGTAAGTTTTTATATTGAGTTGGATCGTCTAATTTAATTCATAATTTACATTTAACCATACCCTTTTGAAGCCATGTATTCTGTAATGGTGTTTTTTATTTTTTTAATAAATTAAAACATTAAAATAACATAAAACCAAATGCCAACCCCTCTGGATGGCGGGTGTGAGCTAAATAAAATAAAATTGGATTGATCCAAACAGACTTTGGTATTTAGTAAACAAGCAATTTTTTTTATTAAATTTACCAATTTTTCTGTTCATACTAAATGATTATGATTTTAATCATGACTGAACTGTGAACAGACTGTATAGATTGCTGGATTAAATTTTAATTTCCAGGTATTTAAGGAATTTGTGGAGACATTTCAAGAAGTACCCAGCACCACATCTAAGGTGTGGGTTAAAGCTGGAACTTATGATGCAGGAGCAAGAAGTAAGATAATCTATACATATTAATAAAGTTTTCTGTGTAATATCCAAAAAATCATATTTCATACACATGATGTATTTGCATAGCTGATAACGAAAAACCACTTTAAAAAAAATTGTATGCCTCTCCACAAGATGTTGTTTCTTCCGGGTAATCTCTGGAACGGCTGAAACAATTTTTACGTGACTTGGGCGGAAAGTTAGTTGATGACCGGGCATTTATTCTGTGCCAAGAAAGTCGCGGGTGATCGCTAGTCCATAATCAGTGGCACCTTCTAGCTAGTAATAACAATTGTCATATGTTATCAGAGGAGGACACATCGGAGCGAGGCAAGCTGTACAAGCCAGTGTCACGGCTGGATGACAAGAAACAGAGCACAGAGGTAGAGGTGTTGCGAAGTCTAGCGCAGATCACACCGCGCCCCGAATCTGCCTTGCGTCCTCGCGCCAAACTCAGCAAGGATAAAAAGAAGAGCAATCTAGAACTATTCAAAGAGGAATTAAGACAGTCAGTATTAATTTTAACCCACTACATAAAATTTTACAATCCAAGCTAGATCTACTATGATTTTATCATATGACAGTTAACTTACTTTTAGGAAGTAACTCCGACACTGCCTGTGTACCAGCGCAACATTAGCCTAAATTAAAATGTCAACGTTTATGTCCCCTCACTTCATTCTGACACTTGACTTTGTAATAAAAGCGCGCCATTCGCGCCAAATGATTCTAACTAATAATGTCTAAAACTACAAATCACTGAGTCAGTTCTACTTAACTCAATAAAGTAGTAGAGTTCCACTGCTGTGACTCATAATTTGAGGTAGTTTTAAATAGCCCACACTCTTGTGTGTTGATCATAATCATTTTTATATGTATACAAAGTACATTGTTGAACAGATTATAAATATTTATTCAATTTAAATTCACAGAATTCAAGAGGAGAGGTCAGAGCGACATAAATATAAGAATGTATTGCGTGAGCGCGGTGTTGTAGGCGGCGAGCCTGTATTGGATACTATACCTGATATTGGTTCTTATGATACTGGGGATCCTAATACCACTAATCTCTATCTCGGCAATCTCAACCCAAAGGTCAGTGAAAGTGACGTAAATCTTTTAATATCTAGTACAAAAAATTCAATATTTAAAATAAATTAAGTTCCTAATTTTATAGATGTTTTAACAATAAAAGATATGAAATATCATCAAATGACTAAAATAAAACAGTTGAACCTCAACTAACAAGAGTCTGGTCCCGAAGGTTGACCTTCATAAGTGAGAAACTTTTGTTAGAGAAACCATTAAAGGTGGGGAAACTCCTGGTTTAACTGTACACTTACAATAGTCTTTATTTTATTATTAATAGATTGCATTAGAAATAGATATATGAATCTGGATAAGGCAAGTGATGTGTCCCGACCATTTAAGTGAAAATCTACTTTCTCTGTCTACTCTGTCTGTCTGTCTGTGGGTCACTGGAATGAGTTTTGTAGTTGTATATGATGTGAGGATGTTACTATGTAATGGTCAGATAACGGAGCAGCAGCTGATGGAGATCTTCGGTAGGTACGGGCCGCTGGCCAGCATCAAGATAATGTGGCCACGTTCTGATGAAGAGAAGGCGCGTGGACGTAACTGTGGCTTCGTTGCCTTCATGTCGCGTAAGGATGGCGAGAGAGCCCTGCGCTGTATTAACGGTAATTTTATCAATTTATTTTTGTAAAATCAGTTTACATTTTTTAAGGACAATTCAAGATATGTTATTTTGTAGATAGGGTAGGCTATATAAATTGTTGTTGTTTGGAAATTCTACTTGTAATTATCCTTAAGTAAAAAATAATGTTAATATTAGGGAAGGAGATAATGAACTACGAGATGAAGCTAGGTTGGGGCAAAGCTGTGGTGATTCCACCGGTACCGATCTACATCCCGCCCGCGCTGCAGCAGCCCAGCAAGCCGCCGCCGCCCTCCGGACTGCCATTCAACGCGCAGCCACCCAAACACCTCACTACCAAGGTCATACAACACTTTGACTGCTGCAGCAATTTTCAACTTATTTCTAATCTGCATCTATTGGCTTTTGTCAAATATTTTAGTCAAATATAATATGCTATAGCTTTTTTATATTTTCCAGACACCGAGAATCCATCCCGGAGACTATTACCCACATGATCCAGAAGACAAAAAGCTTTATGATCAGGTTTTTATCAACAAAATGTTCTTACTGAATTAAGTCTGACTTGGACTGAGTCTTACTGTCTGAACAATTTTTCCATATTTTTTCAGATATTGTCACAATCTATAGTCAAAGTTGTGGTGCCTACAGAAAGGTAGGTAATATCAAATCAGCAAACTGATATAGAAACGGCTAAACACTCACGTATATTCGTCCGGTGGCGGCACAACAATAATACCAGTACCACTCATCCTGATGAAGGGCCCTCGATGGGCTCGACACTAGTCGGTGCCGACACCAGACGTATATACGTGAGTGTTTAGCCGTTTTTATATCAGTTTATTATAATGTCTTACGAAAGTTTGAATAATTTAATATCAAATCACTAATTAAAAAAATCTCATTTAAATTTTTTTGCATGTTTGTGTGTAAACTTTTGCATATTATTAACTGTTTAATAAAAATATAATACATTTTATAGGAACGTTCTGATGCTGATCCACCGCATGGTAGAGTTCGTGATCCGTGAGGGTCCGATGTTCGAGGCGATCATAATGAACCGCGAGCTGAACAACCCATTCTTCCGGTTCCTGTTCGAGAACCAATCTCCGGCGCACGTCTACTACCGCTGGAAGCTGTTCTCCATGCTGCAGGGGGATTCGCCCAAGCAGTGGGCGCTGCAAGACTTTAGGATGTTCAAAGGTACAAACTGCTTTAAATCAAGCTGTTTGTAAATAATTGGCATTCATAGATTCTGTAAGACTTCTTTATATTTTGATGTGACATCTTTATAATAGATTTACAAGTTATTTGGTTTTCGCAAACATCTTCATATAGGGCAGTGTATAAAATGTGTTTTGCGTGTGCACAGGTGGGTCAGTGTGGCGGCCGCCCGTGATGAATCTGTACACGGCGGGCATGCCCGACGAGCTGGTCGAGGAGGACGACGCCAAGGAGAACATACGCGGCACGCTCTCCAACAGGTCAGCTTACTGACACGTGTCATGTGGACAGCTGGAGTTTTGTTGATGCTGGTATGTAATGTGGTGCGTTGTGATGTCAGCCAGCGCGACCGGCTGGAGGAGCTGATCCGCGCGCTGTCGCCGTCGCGCAGCAGCGTGGGCGAGGCGATGGCGTGGTGCCTGGAGCACGCGGAGGCGGCGGGGGAGGTGGCGCAGTGCCTGGCGGAGGCGCTCGCCGGGGACACCACCCCGCCCCCGCGCCGCGTCGCCCGCCTCTACCTGCTCTCCGACATCCTGCACAACGCCGGCGCCAAGCTCACCAACGCCAGCGCCTACCGCAGCGCGTATGTACACCCCCACCCCTCACCCCCACACACACACACACAACGCCCACCACAGTGCAATATAAAAAAGATCTAATCTCCCGGTTTAAATTTCTGGTTTGTTACTATATGATATGCCAAAGGTTCTCGTTTGACTATATGTATAGATAAATATATAATAAGTATGGATTTTTAACAAAATAATGTGTTGTTTCAGGTTCCAGAGCCGTTTGCCGGACATAATGCGTGCGGCGCGTGCGGCGATGATGCGCATGGGCTCGCGGCTGCAGCAGGAGGGGTACCGCGCGCGCGTCGCCCGCGTGCTGCAGGCCTGGGCCGACTGGGCCGTCTACCCCACAGACTTTCTGCTGCACATCAACGACATATTCCTTGGACACGATAAGGTACACAGTGTTGTCTTGACTCTGTAATGGACTCACAATAAAGGAAGTGATTATCTCGTGACGTATCTTGTTCTTGTACAGGAGGATGGCGGCAGCGCGGGGGTTGTGGGTGTGGTGGAGAGCGGTGCAGGCGAGGGCGAGGCTTCGGGCGGAGAGTCAGGTGCGCGCTCGCCCGCCAGCTCGGGCTCGTGGGAGGGCGCGCTGGACGGGGCCGCGCTGCGCCGTCTCGCCGCCGCCCGGCGACCCGATGACGACATCGATGGCGTGCCGGGTACTTATACGACTATAGCTCGCACCATATTTGGTGATTGATTGTATTTCGTATTTATGTATATATATTTCTAATTTGTATCTTTGTTTGATTGACCAGTTGAGGAGGACATTGATGGCGTGCCGCTGGAGGGGGAGGCGGAACGCGGAGGTGAAGGTAGCGGGGGCTCAGGCGGGTCGGGTGTGGGCGCGGGGGTGGCGGGATTTGTGCCGTCACGTTGGGAGAGCGTGGACACAGCCGCCGCGGAGCCGGAGCCCGAGCCCGAGCCCCCTTCGCCGCACGACTCGACACTCACGCCCACACATGACAGGTGACGAGACAAAACATCTTATTGGGTGTCTGCTGACAAAATGTAAGAGGGTGAAGCTTATACAGGTGTGTGTTTAGGGCGGAGTCCCCGCGGGGCGGGGCTGCGGGCACGGAGGAGCTGTCGCTGCCGCGGCGCGTGCTGCGTGACATAGAGGTGCGCGTGCTGCGCTACGGGGACGAGCTGGAGTCGGGCGCGCGCGCTCGCAAGCCTGCTCTCACCGCGCAGCAACAACTGCAGCACTACCGGCGCAAACTCATTAAGAAGGTAATAATTATATAAGTTAGTTTTGTCAGAAAGCACTAGCCAAATTGTTTTATCAAAGTTCGATATCGATTGCTCTAGCTACATGTATAATGTAGTATTTATATATGTAATTGTGTGCAGGCGGCTAAGGAAGCGAAGGAGGCGCAGGAGGAGGTGCGCGAGTCGCCGGACGCGCGACGCCGCTCGCCCGCTGAGGACGACGCATACTCGTTAGTTTCTGAGTCATTTATATTGTGCATTGCTATTATCATTTTTATTTACGTTTTTAATTAAAGTGTTTTGTGCCAAAGAAATTGACATGAATGTATAATTTTACTTTGTTTCCAGAACATCATCTAAGAAATCAAAGAAATCTAGGGAGCCCACTTTATCTCCTCCGCCAAAGCGAAATCGTCACAGGTGAGAAAAGGAAATGTTTTATATTGAATTGTATGGATGATTTGTGTTCTATTTCTTTTATTTTCCATTTTCAGTGATCGAAAATCACGTTCAAGGTCACGATCGAGAGAAAGAGAAAGTGAACGTTTCCGTGAACGAGATCGCGAGAGGGAAAGAGAGAGGGAGAGAGAGCGAGACCGCGAGAGAGACAGGCGGCGCCGCTCGCCGGCCACGCCCCCCGCCTTCTACCACAGGAAACACAACAAACACGCCAAATATAAATACTGACAGAGTACTCAACATGTATTTATGAAGAATAACAATATTGTTGCGGACAGTAAATAAAGTCATTGTGTATGGATACGCTTTGTGATGTGAAATAAAACAAAATCTTGTATCAAGAGTATAATTCGACAGCTTTTATGAATTGCATATTGACAAATAGTAAAAATAACGCGGTGCATAGGAAAAAAATGTTTTAACAAAACAAAAATGAATCATTGTAAATTTCCATAAAATGTTTGAATATATTTGAAGATATATATAACACGCGTGTATAAAGTACATGATGATAAATTAAAAACTTAAAAATTCGTTTATTCCTATAAATTCAAATAAATTTTACAGTTTTATAATAGTAGTGTTGCGATAAACGTTATATAAAAATAATCATCCAAGACTTTAAATTATAGAAATATGCAACTGTGTTTTGTATTATATTATGAATGTATCACGAGTTTCCACTGCAACATGTGTACAAAAACATTGTCAATTAAACAAGACAAGTTTTGTACAAATGTTGTGTTGACTCATGATTAGGTTTAAAAAAATAAAAGTAATAAACTGAATGTTTTATTTTTCATTTGAACCTAAATCATCTTTTACACTAAATTAAATTTAATTTAAAAAAAAATCATTCAAATTAAATCTTTTTTCGCGACTTATTTTGTCATAACTATATTTCAGTTACTTTTCATTTATACTTATAATAATATTTTAGCTAATATTTGTGATAATTGCACTTGAAATCATTAAAACTTACACGAAAGTAATGAACACACAACATATCTTAAATATACAAAAATCAAAACAATAATACTGAAAGGAAAAACAAACTTTGCAAATAAAATTCATAGCCAAATTGATTTGGAACATCTTATTTACTACATTTTACTTACAGAATGACCTTAAAGTGACGCCATCCGAACTGGAGATCATGAAATCTGACCAAAATCTGTCAATAATCGTGGGTTTCTGAGACCAAAATCCCCAATTAAAAACATTGTTATCAAAGATAATGATAGGGATGACATATTCAGAGATTTTGGTCTCATAAACCCTCGATAATTCATTGTAATGAGATTCTAATTACTCTTACACAGATTCATTTGAATTTATTTTCGTATAAAAATATAAAAAAGATGAAGTCACTTTATGGCCATTTATAATGTTGCCATAGTGTGCCAACACTTATTCTTACGATTTTAAGTGTAAATAATATTGTTCATAGATTTACGACACATGATTCCCCGATGTATTATAAATTTAATCAGTTTTAATACTTTGTATACTAACAAGTGTTCAAATAGAAATATTATGCCATTATAAATTAACCAAATCCAAAATCGATCGGTGACATCCACAATTGTAAAAAACATAAGCAAAATGTAACAACACTGAAGGGTACTTTCGAGGAGATTTTAATATCAAGTGCTGGCAACACCATGGCTTCAAACACAAGAGATTACAAAGTTAGGACTACCCGTAGCGCAGGAATGTACAAAAATATAATTGATTAATCACAGAATATTATTATAAATGTGATCTCCATAACTTATACTGAGCTATTAACAGTAGGTTTCCGAAACCAAAATCTCCGTGTAAAATGTATTGTTATCTCTGTCATTATCTTTCACAGAACAAAGACAGAGATTTTGGTCTTAGAAACCCACTGTTAGTGATATAGGAAACATTATGCCATATCTAATTTTTGTAGTTCATTGTATTGTCAATTATATAGTCAATTCATAGACGTAATTTCTTAAAATTCCTACAATTTTTTATTACATACGTCGATCGAAAAATTACTTTTTTTTTAAATATAACTGTTATTTAAAATTAATTTGTGCAATATTAACTTTAAGCATTGCTTTTGTACCAGTGTTTCCAGCATAAATAAAGTCCTGTTTCACATTATAATATTGTTAAGAGTTAATTTGAGAAATAATATGGGAAACACTGTTTTGAATTAAAATATATAAATGTAAATAGCTAATAATACATATTCAAGCCATTTAGCTAAAGCTCTACTAATTTATCATATATATTTAGTTCATATTCTAAAATTATTCGATATTATTTGCTTGCTAAGAATTGATTCAGTAAGTATTTATTAAAGCTTTCTCAGAAATAGCTTTCCTATTATTGCTATCACACATTTAAACCTAAATTTAACAATTCCTATAAGATTTCAATATCTTCATACCATTGCTAATCGTTGCTTTCTGACGCCAAATCATCATTAAAATTTTTTGTCATCTCCATATGGTCAAATATAATGACGGATGAAATGTTTTAATCGGGGATTTGGTGTCAGAAATCTACGGTAAGTCAAATAAGTAAATCATTTGAAAACGACACAAATGAGTAAATTAATCTTACATCAATCCTGCATTCAAGTTTAATTGACGTATATTCTTATATTGAATGCCTTTTAAAACCTATTTACAATGTAATTAAACCGTATCCGAGAATAACCAAAACTGTCAGAGGTATCGGTTCTCAGATCTTTAAATTTTTTATATTATAATACCAGTATCATAGTCGCAATTTTTCTTTCCTTCGTTGATAATTTGAAATTAAAAACGTACCGGTCCTATAGGAATTGGTACGTGTACGTGCCACGCCCACTTTTGGGTACGTGTCACGTACGCGTCAGGGACACGTTCTGGTACGCATTAAGGACACGTTCCAGTGCGCTGTGTCCAGTCCAGTGTGCGGAGTGTGCGGAGGTCACCGCCAGGCGCGACGCGGGGAGGTGGCGGGGCCGCGCTGTCACCTGCACTGCCGCACTTGCCAGATGCGAATGCGACCGTCACTGTGGAACATCAGATTGTTGTACACTATTGCTCGTGTTTGTATGTACATTACGTAGAAATAAACATAAAATAACATTACGTGGCTTGATTTTTTTTTGTTAGTTAGCATTAAAGGAAAATATAGAGCTAAAGATGTACCCAAAAATTATTAACGGATTTTTTGTCATCTTGTAAACTAAATTATAATAGAATTTAACATTAATTTTAAATTGAATATTTCCAAACTAGATATAAAGAAGAATAGGAAAGGACTGGAATAAATAACAAGTATAAGACTAGAGGGACAAAGTGGGAACAAATTATAGACGTTATTAATACTAGCATAATGAAACTAATTGTGAAGATCTAGTGCTATGAGGATCTACAGAGAACTACAAGTCCTGGATGATTTAACGATATGTATAACACTAAGATCTAAAATCTAGATAGTATTTAGTACAACATCAAAAGCACTAAGGTTCCGTCAGAACCTTAGTTTGTAAAAGATTGAAATCACACAGAAAGTAAGAAAGTGTTTAGAAAGAAAACTGGAAGAGATACATTTAAAAATCTAACATTCAAATCGAGGTATTCATTATTGCTGTTAATTCGTTATAAAAATTAAAAATAAAAGACAAAACACGAGGTTAATCACATAAAGACACAAAAAACAAGAAAGTGATGGTCATATAAAGATAGATTTTAGCAAAGCATTGCTAATTGTAAGGGGTTAAGTGTAGGGAATAAAAGAGAGTGATGAAAACAGAACCTTACGTCAAGAGAATAAGGTATAAATTAGCTAAGCAGAGTTAACGTCGGGTGGTGTAGCGGCGACGACGCGTGCGCAAGCTGTGTCGCATGTTGCCGGCTTCTTACCATATTGTACTTACGTTAACTTCTCAGGTGAGTGTATTTGTTGGTTTTAAGTGTATGTTTAAATTGTCAATTATTTGAACTTTAGTTTCATTTCTTACTAGCTGTCGCCGACGACTCCGTCCGTGCGAAATTTAAATAAACTTACTAAGTAGTCTATTTGTTCTTCCAGATAATTCTACATCTATGGCAAATTTCAGCGAGGTCCATACAACAGTTTTCGAGATAACTTCAAACATCCATCCATCCATCCATAAATCCAAACATTCACATATGTAATTGATTAAATTGATTTCTTTCTTTAAGGATACTAGGAATTTGTTGAAAGTTTAAAACTTGTGCGTTAATTGAATCAGTGTGAATAAATTAAGTGAGTTGTAAATCAAAATGTGTTAACATTAAACGCCAGTAACTTTTGTATTGGTCATAAAAATTATGAACAAGCGTATTGTTAATATTAAAGCGAAGCGTTAAGGTTAGTTGATGATGATTTTGTTTTTTGTGTTTGTCTATCTGTCTGTCGGTCTGTATATTTGTGTGAGCACCTGGTCACTGGTCGTCGACGATCCGCCAGGCACGCACTTCGCCGCCGCTGCAACACACTCACACGTTAATGATACAACCTTACCGATGACACAATCTTCCTTCAAACGACACGAAGTTACACAATACAATTGGTTTAGGAAACAACATAAAGGATGTTTATATTCACATACATGTAAAAACATTTTGTTAAACGTTTGTCTGCGAAGACTTGCGACAGTACAGATGGATTAAATTGGCTAACAATAATGGAGGGAGAAAGACACATAATTTCACTATTGAACACACAATACGTTATGTATGAATTCATAAATGTGTATGAGATGTATGTATGTATGTTGTGTTTGTGTGTGTGTATGTGTACCTGGCGGCGGTGCAGAGAGCGGCGGCGCGGTACGGCGCGAGGGCGTGCGGGGCGTCGGGCAGCGGCGCGGGGTGCGCGGCGGGGCGCAGCGCGGGGCTCCACAGACGCAGGGTCTGGTCGCGCCCCACGCTCGCCACGCGCCCCGCGCCCGCCCCGCACACGCCCGTCACCCACCCCTTGTGCGCGTTCATCACGCTCTGCAACACACAACATTCACACTGACTGACTGACACCGACTGTTGGTGAGGTGAGGTGTTGTGAGAGACAAGTCGTGTACTGACATGTGCGAGAGTGCCGTCAGCGAGGCTCCAGCACTTGAGGCCGGAGTCGCGCGAGGCGCTGTACAGATGCTCGCCGGCCAGCAGCAGCGCCTGCACGCCGTCGTAGTGCGGCGGCTCCAGCAACCTCCGCGTGCTGATCTCCCATGAACCTGACGTACAATTTTTTATAATTACCTATTTTATTTACAACCGCCCTATTACGTAGAGAATTATATAAAAAAAAGCTGGTGTGTACCAGTGTCGTTAGGCGCGAGGTCTAGCAGACGCACGCAGTGGTCTCGCGATCCCGTGGCCAGGCGGTCACCGCGGCCGGCTCGTGCCGCGGCTAGGCACATCACCGCCGCCGCGTGACCTGACCACCACTTGCTCACACACTCCATCCTGTATACATAATACAAATAAATACATACACCCGGTCACTGTAAAGTTAAAACAAATTATGTATGTGGCGTATTATATGAGATAAACTGTTGTAGTTACATGCGAAGATCCCAGAGTCGCAGACGGTCACCGGCAGCGGTGTAGAGGCGGTGCGCGTCGGCGGCTGCCAGCGCTGTCACCGCGGTCTCACCGCGAGTCGACGTCGCCGCGCCCGTAGGACCCACGCCCCCCGAAGACCTGTAAAAAATTTATTTGTAATTTAACCAAGTCATTGTACGTATGCAAGAGGGTTAGTATGTACATTCGTAAGTACCACAAGGTGGCGACGGGCGTGCCGAGCCGAGTGTCGAAGGCGCGCACGGCGGGCCCCGCGGCGGCAAGTAGCAGGCCGGGCGCCGCCAGCGCGGCCACTGCGGCCCCGCACCCACCGCGCCACGCCTCCCGCCCCGCCGTCAAGTCCCAGCCGCGCACAGTGCGATCTACATATCACATGGTTACTTATTGTAGAACACCTGGGCGTTTAGGGCAAATATATTACAGGGTAGGTGCCAGAAATACGAAATAGATGTGTATTGTAAACGAGAAACGGTTCATGACAACCTGTGTGTATTAAAAAGGGCGAGCTTACCGACACCACCGCTGTAGAGCAGCGAGTGCGTGGCGGCGAGGCAGAGCGCGGCGCCTACGTGCCCCTCCGCCACGTGCGTGCACTGCAGCCACGCCCCGGAGCCGCCCCCACCCCCAGCTCCGATACTTACTCGTTGCTAAAAATAAACGATACGTTTTATATACAAGCGCAACATTAGTATGTATTATTTGTGATAAATAACTTACTTTTAATGGTAGTTCTCTAACGACGCCTTGGGGTGAGTTGTCGTGCGCGGCGCCCGCCAGTCTCAGGAAGACATCGTCGTCGCGCGCGCGTCGTGCGGCGCCGGGCGAGGCGGGGGGCGTGGCGAGCGCGCCCGAGCCAGCGCCTGCGCACGCGCTCGTCTCCCTGCGTTAGTCGCACGGGCGCAGGCGTTAGATAAGCGGTACGAACGATCAACCAGGTTAGAACAATGAATTATGACACATTCCAATGTACGTTATGTGTTTTAATGTAAAAGTAAAATGTGAATTAAAATATAAAATTAAAATAAGCGTTTATGCTGAAAAGTATTAACGATTAATGCGCACGAACGTCTCGGAACGATTCGATGCTCGCTATATGAATAAGTAATCAGTAAAAACAGAATGTAAATGATATATTAAATAAAACAATAATAGCACGAAAACAAAGATTGCCACAGAATTGTAACTGGCGGGGTTGCGATTAACCACAGCACATCTGGAAATAGAGAAGGATGTGGTATAACATTCGCTCAATGTTTTAAATTTGGTGACCAGCAATCGTTTTACATATAGGATGATAAGGCCTGCATGAATCTGAATTTATTACGCAATACTACTACTGGTAAATCTTCTTGCATCCAACCTTTGTTCTACGTTTTACGATTAAAGAATTACATCTAGTTATCTATTTAAATAGATCAACTTGTGATATCATAATCATACAAATTTAAGTATAGCAAGCAATCTTAGTAACATTTTAATAGAGAGGTTGGACAAAGACATTTAGCCAGTGGAATCCCAATAATGTATATTATTACGATGTATTTAGATGTATCTCTCTCGTCCGTTGACTATCCTATTATTGTGAAGTATGAATGTATGTTTCATTATAATTTTATTTGTAACAAATGTTTGTATGTTATGTTGAAACTCATATGTTAATACGATCCAAAGCAATAACTCATTTTTTAATTAAACGCCACAAACAACCACAAAACCAATGACAAAACACAACATGGTTTAAAAAAAAAAACTAAAACTTACCCTTATATGTATGTTACGTAAATCACGGAAAATATATCAAAGTAAAAAAAAGAGTTCGTAATACCAAAAATTACATCACATTTTAAAACAACAGTACCTGGATGAGCTTTGCTCGGTATTTTTTTTTAAATTGTGTTTTTTGGAAATTACATTTAAGTACCAATTACTAATAAAATGATGATGAAGTTTACCTCTAATACGCCTCCTTTTCGTTATTTTTCTTCCAAGTTTATGTTTAAGTTGATTATCGATAAAACACGAATAAAATGACATTTTCTAAAAATGATTCCTAGCTAGATCGATTTATCGCCCCCGAAACCCCCTATATACTAAATTTTATGAGTCGTTGGAGCCGATATCGAGATTCCAATTATATATATATATATATATATATATATACACAAGAATTGCTCATTTAAAGATATAAGATAAAAAAACCACAGATAGCAAAAAATTGTCACTAAAAAGTGTATATTTGTTAAAAAGTAGCAAATATATTTTGTAGAAACTCATGCAATATTTGATATAATCATGCGAGCAAGAAGCAAACTCTACATCAGTGCATAATTTAATTGATATTGTATCACAGATAACTAGCAGATTATTTACAATAATTAAAAACAATTTTAGGTTAAAAATATTATATTTGTGATGATAAGTTTATTTCTTAATAAGTAAAGTTACTTAAAATTTTATAAGTAAAAATGCTATTTCTTTTATTTACATTTCATTACGAAGTTTTTTTCCTTAAGTATTTACAACTATAAATATGTAATAACTTGAACTTAACTATATAATCTATTGTGAAGTGAACGAAAAAAGATCTACATATTTTTTTCTATTTACCTTTAGATTTCGTACACTTAAGTTAGTAGACATATATTTAAGTGTACCTAAATAAAAAAAAAACTTTGACATTGTGCGTTTACCAGAAAAATAGTGTAATTATACAAGAAGAACATAAGATTTTTTTTAAATAACTATATTAGTATATTTCGTGAGATTATGATATCACAAGCTTGTTTAATTTAATAAAATACTAAATACATAAAAAAAATTAAAAAATAATAATCAACAAAAACTACGGAAAATAACCTAAAATAGTCTATATTTACATCAGACCTACACCAAATTACAACTAGATCTTAACGTGTATGGAATAAGGTGTATATTTGCGTGTTATGTACAGTTGTCATTCAGTGCGTGGGATCTGCGTCGCTTCAGTCCTCGACAATGTTGAGGTCGGTGAGGAGGCTGCAAGCAACACCCCAGTGAGACACCCCGCACACACCCCGCACCCACCCCGCACTCCACACACCCCCGCTAACGCTATCCATCTCGACAGTCATGTGTGCATTAGTCTTGCCATGGGTTATTACTTCCCAAACATACAAGAACATCTTGTCTCTTTCTATCTCCTTGACAAGAACTGAGACGATAATATTTTTGTATAAAGGTATTGTACAATAGAAACTCTCGATTATAGACTATGTAGAAAAAAATATAAAAGGACTCACTAGAACGCCACATTTTCGGCTAACAAATGTGTATTTAGTGGTAAACGTAATTTTTGAACATCCTGTATAACGTTTTCAATTTGCATATTCTTACAAATATTATTTAATACTTAAAGAGATAAAAATTCATGCAAGTCATGCACACATGACTGTTGGTTATACTTTTTTCTACTACTAAATTCGAACCCAAATATAATTGTCAAACTACTCGAAAAAATGAAGACAATATAAAAAAATTTCATTAATCATGAAAAAAATCAGGCATGTTTTTTTATTTTAAATAAAAAAATATATTTTTATTGTTATGTTATATATTTGTTTAGTTATATTGTCTTAATTATTTGAATTTAGAAAAATTACTACGTAACATATACCCAAGCTGTGTCATGCAGAGAGCGGTAGCGAGGCGGCAGAGTGCCGAATTGAATTATGCTACTTATTGCTAAGGACATAAGTGCTATATTTCTACAACTACAACATGTAACATTTGAAAGTTTTTTAAATAACGATTTTTAATGCAGAAACAAAAAGCAAAAAAAAAAATTCGAGTTAAGGAACAAAACATTAGAAAAATTGGCACTAGATGGCGCTACATGATTTTAATCGTCGAAGCTTCTTCTGGTAGAAGCGAACTTCTCGTAGAAGCGATTTTGATAAGTTTTATTTGAATTTCTTACGTAATGTATGGGACAGAAAACTTTAAAATGTTACAATGCAAGCTAGTAAGATAAAATGGTGGAGCTGTACTCACAAGGAGGCGGGCTTGGCGAGGCTGTGCTGGCGGCGCAGCGGGCGCGGGCTCTCGGGCGGCGGGCGGCGCGACGTCAGCGGGGACGACAGCGGCGCAGAGTTCATCGGTGTCAGTCCTCTGCAAGTGACAATTGTATTATTGTTAATTCACACTCGAAATTGTTGTTAGCTTTATAAGTATATTTAATTGTGAACAGACCTCAGGCTGCCGGGCGCGCTGGGCACACGGCTGAGCGGGGCGGGGCGCGGCGGCGTGTGCTCCACCATTGACTGCGACATGGGGTCCTCGTCACGACCTATCACTCCCAGATCACGTAAACGCACCGAACCACGTCTTGCCCTAAACAAATCAAATTAAAAATCATTTTGTTTTCTACAATCTAAGTGATATATTAGGACTAAAAAGTAATCCGTACGTGTTACGCTGGAATGGCGAGTTGCTGTTGTCGTCGGGCGGCGAGGCGGGCGCCGTACTCGACTCTCGCGCCCCACTCACCGGCGGCCGCTCTAGCAAAGCACTGTAATCAACATAAAATAATTGTATGAAATAATATTAGCAAATACAAAGTTTGCTAATGCTTTGTCTCTATCTATCCACCTGTCAGAAGGTGAGACGGAACGCGTGGAGGTGCCGGAGGAGACGTGGGCGAGCAGGGCGGCGAGCGCGGGCGGCGGTACGCCCCACGGGTTCAGGTTGTGGTCACCGTTCGTATTAGATGACTTTAGAGCATTCGTCAAACGATCGTTTTTCTCTTCCATCTATAACAAAAGATACAAAGATTTTATTTAAATTAATTCGAACATTTTATTAATGTAAATGTATTGAAGTGTGAGTGACCTCAGCGAGCTGTGCGCGCGTGTCGCGCAGCATGCGCAACGTGCGCGCGGCGTCGTGCGCGTGCGTGAGTGCGAGCGCGGCCAGCCGCTGCAGCGCGTACCGCCCCGCCTCCGCGCTCGTCACCTGCTCCAGCACACGACACAGCTCCGTCTCCTCGTTCTCCTCCTGAATAATCATTTTAATAAGTCAGTACGACTATTTTAAACTTTTATACCATAAATTACTTTTTAATACAGAACATAATCCGGACTTGACAGTAGAGTAGGTGTAACAAGTAGTACCTCTATCTGCATGATCTGATGCTGCGTGTCGGCGATGGCCTCGCGCAGGTAGGCGAGCAGGGCGGTGGCGTCGGGCCCGGCTGGGTCGGCGGCGGCGCGGTCCCGCTGGCGCAGCTGTGCCTCCAGCGTGGCCTCCAGCTCGGCCAGCGTGGCGCGCGCAGCACTCGCCCGCGACACCCAGCACTCGATGCGCGCCCACGCCTCGCGACTTGAGATACGTGAACGACCTCGGGACCCATCTGTTAAGCCACACCATTTTTTTTATACCTTTAACATCAACCAACCCAACACAAGCCGACAACATATAGATAATTTTCACTATATCTAAAAATACGTTTTAAAAAAAAAAAACAAAATATTACCATGAAGTCTTCCTGCCGCTTTGCTGCTGAGTTTGTCCCGATGTCCTCGCCTTAGTAATGATACTTCCTCCTGCTTACGTTTTAATACCTGAAAAGATAATTAAAATAAAAATAAAATGTACAAAACATCGTTTCTTTTTATTTCACTATATTTATATGCAACTTATAAAATATGTATAGAAGTTATTATAATACCTGTTCCTTAAGTCTAGTTTCAGCTTCCAACGACCGTATTAGATTCGCGTTCTTACGAGATTCTTTTCGCAACTGGGCCACCTGAAATTAAGTTAAACAAAGAATAGAGACAACACATTATATTTATATCACTATGTAGAAAAACTCATTCACCATGTTAAATTCAGGCTCTACTACAAAATGGTGTATCACATATTTCTGTACAATCATTACAATATGGGTTAGATGGCATTTGATACCCATGAAAAATGACATGGAAACAAAGCTAAAACGATGACGTACCTCTTTGGCTCTAGCTGCCTCCGCTTGTGCGTGTCGCTTTGCTTCTGTTCGCATTCGTTGCACTAATTTCACCTAAAATAAAACAATGAAAGAATTTGAAACGTGTAGTGTGTATGGGATGTGTGGGGTGGTGTTGGGGGCGGTGTTGGGGGCGTGTG